AGATGAAAAATTATGCGAAATTCCTTTTTCCACCAGAAATGAATCAAAGACATGATTTTTGAATTCAGTTCCATGATCACTTTTAATTTTTCGAACTGTCTTTTTCAATGAAACTTCCATTTTCTTGATAAAATCAATCATTATTTGTGGAACTTCGGATTTTAACCTGAGAAAATAAACCCACGTAAATCTTGAAAAATCATCTACAATTACCAAAATGTACCTTTTCTTGTTAAGAGTAGCAACTGTTGAAGGACCACATAAATCAATATGCAAGAGTTCGAGGGGTTCAACAATCTTCGAATCTATTGTGATAGGATGACCTTGTTTGTGTTGTTTTCCTACTTCACAAGCTGCACACAAACTGTCATTATCATATTTAAGTATGGGTAAACCTCTTACCAGATCTTGTATGACAAGTTTGTTGATGTTTCGAAAATTGAGATGTGATAATCTCCTGTGCCATAACCAGCTAACATCGGCAGCAGCCTTCGAAAGTAAACACACAGCAGGTTTGCCTACAATAGGAACAATATCCAATGTAAACATATCACCTTTTCTTTTTGACTTAAGTAAAACTTCCTTTGTCTTAACATTCGAAATGACACTTCCTTCTTCATTAAAAAGAACTTGATTTCCAGTGCCCACAACAAGTTGTGAAACACTTATCAAATTGTGTTGTAAACCTTCAACAAATGCAACTCTGTTGATAGTGAAATTTCCATTTGTTATCTTTCCATAACCCTTGACTTTGCATTTGTGATTATTGCCAAACTTAACCACTCCTCCATTTTCTAGACTTCGAAAATCACGCAAGTTTTCCTTCTTCCCAGTCATGTGACGTGAGCAACCGCTATCAATATACCATTTGTTATCATATTGCTCGTCACAAAGTACCTGCGATCATTGGAAAAATTTAAGTACCCAATCTTTGTTGGGTCCATTCATATTAGGTTTGTGTTTCAATTGTAAAGTACAACCATTAACCCAATCACAAACTTTGGTTTTGAAACTGTCAATAAAGTTAACATTTTCATTCTGAAGGTCAGATATATGAGTGTTTATTATTTTCAAATTTTCACTAATTACACCCTTCTCTTCTTGAGTTTGTGATTTTTCACTTTTTGCTTTTATGACCGGCTGCCAAACTTTAATTGATATATTTGACTCTTTGGATGATGAACTACCATTCGTTGAAGGATTGGCTTATTTTTCATATGCTTCATGTATCTGTTCTTTCGAAAACTTACTTGATTGGTATATTTTTCCTTTTCCTTCAAACCAATGATCAATATTTCTCTTTGTTGTTATTCCCTTTGCATATGAGACTTTGTCAGCTTGTTTCTTCAAAGGATTATAACAGTTTGCTGAATTTGGAACATAATCAACTTTTGGTTTTGAAAGATATGATTCATGATAAGATGTTTTAATTTGTGACTTTGAATTCTGTGTTGCAACCTTTTTCTGAAAAAAATTTCTTGGTATTGTAGTTTTTGTTCCATTTGATACTTTTGATTCATTATTTGAAAACGAAGCATTTTTCTTTTCAAAAATTTGAGACTTTGATTTTTCTTTAAAAACTTTTCTTCTTTTTGAAAAATTTGTTGATCTCATTTTTGATGGCTCAACAGTTTGCCAAAAAATTGTTTTTCTCGCTTGACGTTTCGAAATATTATTTTCTTTTGAAAAATTTTCAACTTGAGCTTTAAATTCCTTTGAATTCAATTTTATTGCTTTGTTGATTGCTTTAACTTCTGTTTTAACACCTTCGTGTTTTGTAAACACATTTTCAACTTTTGATTTTTCAACCCATACTCTTTTTGATTTTTGATGTTGAAATTTATATGAATTCTTTGTAAGATTGTTTTCAACTGTACTTTGATTTGAAAAGAATCCTTCATTTGATGTTTGCATATTATCTTCCTCAATCATCTTTTTGAATTCAGGCTTTATGTTTTCAACATTACCTGTTGTTACAAAGACTTGATTTGGGAAAACAACATCATCAGTGCATTTGAAGATTGGATAAACAACAGTATTCGATTCAAGATAATGAGCACCTTTTTCACTAAGAATTTTCTCAAATTCTTGTGTATTCAAATAGACTTGATCAACAACCACTCGAGGAATTTCAATTTCTTCCGACCATTGAATAGGCTTCAAATTTGTATTTTCTTCCTCATTGTCACTATCATCGGTTTGACTCTCATGTATTTCCACAAACTCCATATCACAAACTTTCGAAGTTGAGGGTTTATCAGTTTCAATTTTTATTAATAAATCTTCACATTTGTCTTTCCCTTTAAATGAATTTGCTACATTTATGACAGACAATTGAGAACAATCTACATCTTCTAAATCACTAATTTCACTAATATTATCAGAATTATCTTCAATATCAGCAATATTAGTTTTACAATTAGATGTAGAATTCTCAGTCTTTTTCAAAATTCGAATTTGTTCGGAATTAGATAAGGTCTCATTTACAATTTTTACTAAATCATTAGCATCAAGATAATCTTCGACTTTAGCAATACCATATCTAAACCTATCATCTGGAATTTTGTTGAAATCAGAAATTTCTTTTTCACAATCATATGAAATACTATCAACCTTAGCTCTATCATAAGCTAAAAATGGTAGTAATTTTCTATGTTGTTCCTTACTTATCTCACACGAATGATGTAACTCAGTTAATTTTCCATACAATCTTTTTGCTGAATTACAGAAAATATTTCTTTGTGCTAACAACAAATTTACTTCTTTTGCTAATTTTTCTCTATCCTCCATAATATTTGAAACTTGCAATTCTAAGTAATCAATTCTAGTGACTTTTGAATCCAACATTTTTCTTGTCTCTAGTAAATGATCACTTAACTTTTTCGCTTCATTGCTAGCAGACACAACGATTGAATCAAAGTAAGTAACAGTTTCATCAAAAGATACTAACTCAGAATTATATGCAGAAACTGGAATGTTAAAAGATTCAAGAATGTTACGTACCTTGGTAGTCATGGGCGACCTGTCAGTAGACTTCGAAACGAAGCATTGCCCACACACTTCGTCAGTCTGTTCATCATCTGAATCCTCTTCCATCTTTGCATACATAGCTCCATGAGTTGGATTTTTCATCTCTTCATCATCTGAACCCGAAGACCATATTTGATATGTGCCATCTGATTCAGTTTCTCCATAACCAATGACAAATTCTTTGTTTTCTTCTTTACTTCCTCCAGTTTCTCAGTGTAGTATGCTTCATCTTTTGTTTTATTTTTCTTTTCTTCCTTCTTCCTCAACAAGCAATCTGCTGCCAAATGATTTGCTCCATAGCAATAATGGCAATTAATCCTGTATCACCTTTCAACATCATCTTCATTTGCTCCATCTCATTCTTCGAATCTGTCTTCATTTCTTTCTTCTTTTCATCCAGTTTGTTTTTGTTCTCAAAACTACCCTTCGAATCTGATGACTTCTTTGGATTAAAAGGTTTCTTAAAAAATTTCTTTACTCTATTGTTTGAGTAAAATGCAACAGCCTCATCATCAGAATTCATTAGAAAACCTTCTTCTTCATCAGACTTCGATTTTTCATTCTCTCTTTCTGAGACCTTCGAAACTAGTGCCAATGGTCCACCAAGACTTGCTTTTGCTTCCTCAGCTATTTCATTAACTTCATTTTCATGAGATTTTAATTGATTGTACAAGTCATTCAAAGTCGAAGTATCAAAGCTCTGTTGATTTTTCACCATCATACTCACACTCCTCCACTCCTTTCGAAGTCCCATTACAAATATCAAATTGTACTCCATTGGTGACCTGATTATACTATAACGGTTACAACGATAGATTAGCTCGTTGAACCTATCATAGTATGTTTCAATAGACTCATTTTCTTTTTGTCTGAAATCTTTGAGTTCCACCAGGCATTGTTTCACAGATGTGATCTTCGTCTTTTCACTTCCTTGAAATTTGTCTTTGAGATTGTTCCATATTTCTTTAGCTGTTTTGCATGTTCTGATATAATTGTACACAACAGGAGGCAACACACTTTCTTAATTCCCTCATGCATTTCTTCTCCAGTCGTTTTAGACGATCGGTTTGATTATCAACTTCTGAACTACTTGAAGACATTCCAATTGGCTGAACTTGTGCAGGTCGATTGACTTCTCCTGTTATGCATTTCCATAATTCTTCATGCAATCCATTCAAGTAATCTTCCATCCTATCTGCCCACTAATCATAATATTCTGGAATAAGCATTGGAATTTTTGTGGATGATCCAAGCAAATGAGAAAATGATGTCATTGAATTCAAATTGAATGACGCCATTTTTTGTACGGACAAAAACTTCAAGATGATACAAAAACTTTTGAGAAAATTGAAATAAAATTGTATAATTCAATTCAGAATCACACAACGAACACTCGATTTACAAATATTTTTGCAGAATCAAATCCTAGATTGAGATTAGAAAGAATTTTTCAATTCAAAAAGGACGGAAACTTTTTGAATCAAACAGTAGATTCAAAAACCTTTTTGATCATATGAAAATCAGATCACAGAAAGGATTCCTGCTCTGATACCAATTGAAGAGATTTGTAATCGAGTTTAAGATCAATTCATGTAAGAATTCAGAAAGAAGAAAAACGATGAACACAAGAGTAAATATAATCTTGGTTCAGCTCATATTATGCTCATGAATTTACAGAGTACAAAGAATATTCTGTAAAGTCTTAGTGAAAAGTTACTACTCACTTAGTACAGACCCCTATTTATAGGAGTACAAAAGCATAATAAAAATACTAAGGACTAGACATTAAGACTATTCATTAAAATGCCTTAGTAAAAATAACATTACTTCTGAAGTATCTTCTTATGAAGACTAAAGACCCTTCGTAACAACTAACACTTCGACATATTACAACATTTAAACTCTAACATTATATAACTTATTTTGTAGAAGAATTTGCATATATCAAAATAAGCACCAGAATGAACCAACTAATGCATCATTAATGTTGACAGTTCCTGGACAACTTTCTCTAATCCTTTGGTAATAGCTTCCATTTCCTCTGCCAAGTATTTCAACTGCATCTGGAAAGAAATAATCAATATAATTAAACATTAAAAAAAACATTGCTAAAAATTTGTAGAAGATTAAACTAGAATATACCTTTGCTGCAGATTCCAAACTTTGAAGATCCTTGGAAAAATCAAGAACTTCAGGTAGTTTGTCAGCAAGCACCTACAAACATATCCACCATGATTCACAAAAGTTGAAAACAAGATGATTTTCTTTTTACTTTTTACTTTTACTAAAATAAAAGGAAGAGAAATAAAATAAATAGCTTACAAAGATAATGCATAAATGTCATTCTATTGTTCCTTGCACGTGTGTCTGTAAGTTTCAACAGGCTATCCAACCTGAACCTAATCGCAGACCCTAAAACAAAATCATTTTTTTTATTTTTGTGAGTATAAAAAGTCAAAGTCAAAGATCATAGTCAAAGTTAAACTTAACTCACCTCTTGCAGTCCCTTGATTCAATGCATTTCCTAATGAAAGAATTGTTTGCATGACTCTCTTCAATTTAGCAGAACCCCTGATCTGATACAAACACCATCAACATTAATTACATAAATATATATATATATATATATATATATATATATAAATTAATAACTAATTAACTATCATAACTTGCCTGTTCTACTGCAGAATTTATTATGTTCAGGTTCTTCCTGGGATAAGAAATGTAATAGCCCAGAATTTCCAGGTATTTATTATTGTATTTTTGGAGAATTGTGAGTGGACACGGCGAGTTGGAGCTCAAACTCGCGAGTAGGATCACGATTTGGACGCAGGTTCGCGTCTGGATTCGGCGAGTCCAAGAGTGGACTCAGCGAGTCCACGCTGTCTAATGAAACCATAATTTACAGGGTTTGAGACCTATTTAAAGGGGCTTATGGCCGTCATTTGCAGCCACCAACCCCTAGAGAGAAACCCTAAAGGGATTTGAGCGTTTTGGGAGAGAAAAGAGGCCATTGTTGACCTTTGAAGCTTGGTTTGGCAAGGCAAAGGAGATTCTAGCTAAGAGAAGGCAAGGGAAGTGAACATTCTTCGATTTTGGAGCTTAGAGCATTATCTTGGAGGTATATCTTGGCTTCCTTTTTGGTTTTTATGATGAACATGGGGGTTTAGGGTTTCTTGACCCCTTTGTTGGTTAGATTTGATGTCCATGTCATCCCTATTCGTGATGAGGCTTGAGATGAGATCCATAGAGGTCCAGAAGAGCTGTATTCCTTAAGCTTTATGAGGGTTCATGAGAGTATTGGCCTAGAGTTATGAGATATGGGAATAAAACATCATTTATGAGCAAATAGTTGTTGTTTGAGCCCCAAGGTTTGGACTTTATGTGATTATCATGCTTGGGGAGGCCAGATCTATGAATGTATGGAATAGATCTGACTGCAGAAGTGAGTTTGAGTTGATGCATGGCATGGACTCGCTGAGTCTGAAGAACACACTCGGCGAGTAGCATGAAGATTGTCCAGAACCACTCAGCGAGTGGTCTTGCCGAGTTAAGGGATTGACTCAGTGAGTCAGGGAGAGTCAGAGTGGGTTGACAGGTGGACTGAGTCAAGTTGGAACTCGCCGAGTTGTTCTTGAGACTCGGCGAGTTGAGTCGTGGTGGCCCCGCAACTCATGCCAGGTGGAACTCGTCGAGTTAGGATAATACTCGACGTGTCGAGTGAGGATCCCAGGGAATCAGTGGATGCGCATAGACTCGAGGAGTCGATATAGTGCACTCGCCGAGTTCGGTCAAAGTTGACCATTGACCGTTGACCAGAGTTGACCTGTGTTGACTTAGTGGGGTTAGTCAACCTTAGTTGTGAAAATGTTAAAAATGTATTGTATTATAGGAGGATTATAGCTCGAGGGATCGAGTGCAAGTGGGTTCAGGGATTTGCGAGCTATCGAGATACACAAGGTGAGTCTTCTCCCTATACTTTACCTTGAGTACGTAACCAGAGTTATGTGACAGAGTATTTGTATGCTATGTATGTTATGTGTTGTACTGCATTATTTCTATGTGATTTATGTTGTGCATGTTTACAGAGTTAGAACCGGAATGTTCCCAGAGTTAGAACCTGAGGGTTCACAGAGTTTGGGTGCACGAACCCACAAAGTTATAGTCTCGAGTGGCTAATATGTGTTATATGTGGTATTTTGGGGAACTCACTAAGCTTCGTGCTTACAGTGTTTTGTGTTATGTGTTTCAGGTTTCTCACAGGATCACGGGACGGCACCGGCTTGATTGTACACACCAGCGAAAGAGTTATATTTCGAGGATCCTGGTTTATTATGCAAGTGAAAATGGAGTTATGTTTTGTCATTTGATCATGAATAAGATTTTAAGAAAAGTGTTTTTTTTTAAGAATTAAACCATTATATTTAAATGAAAATTTTGTTTGAAATTTACGGTGTTACAAGAAACCTAAATGCCAACAAAATTCAAGTTTTAGATTTATAATTAAAATAAATAAATAAAAAAATAAATAATTTCAAAGAAAGAAAAGTTGATCAAATAATAAATTCTGGAATGAGGAGTCCCCATATGCCTGGTGAAAGTTCAACGTACAGAGCAAAAAGATAAGTGAATTGCATGGTGGGGAATGACCTGAAGAATCCAATGAGTGATTAGACACAAAAACTAGTTATCATCCCCATTTCTGACAGGTCATTAGGTTAAAAGAAGGTCCCTGACTAAATTAGTCTAGTATTGTTTAAAGACTCAATGTCCGTGTCCATTTGACATGTTAGCCCACCCAAATAATCTTAATAATCATGTTAGACACAAAAAATAGTTATCATCCTAGAGTATGATGGATCATTTGTTTTAAAACTGATTCAACATTTACAATGTAGATTTATGAACTATCCAAACAATTTCACCACATCCTTTAGAAAACATGGAATTCCCCAAAATAGAAAGAAACAATTAGGTAAGATTTAAGGAAGATAAGCTTTACTAGGATAAAAGATCAACATCCCCTACAGCTTGCCAATCACTTGACGCTTCACTTTCTGAATAATGCCTTGATTGGTTTGCTTTTCTTTCATTAAGACAAACCCAATCACTTGCTTCACTAGCTGAAGAAACCCTGCTACTTTCTCTTTGTCTAATACCAAATAATCTACTAGAAAGATCATTATCTTCATCTTCTAGATCACTGAAAGAAACATCATCCTTATGGGCTTCACTTCTTCAGTGCTATTTACCTCACTACCCTTCTCAGATAAACTTGTATTTCCATTAGTATCCTCTGTTAACTCCATGGATGTATTATTCTTGTTTCTTAGTTTTTGCAGAAGCCCCTCGTGTATTTGTACGATCTCTAGGGTTGATAGAAGCATATAATCATCGTCTTTCAATCTTGGAAGCAACAAAATGAAATAAATCATCCAAAAGTGTTGTTCACTCATGTGATTGTGAATTTTATGCCTCAGAGTGGTCAAACTTGGTACTAATTGTTGTTCTCTCTCTCTTCCCAACCCCTTCAACTCCGACGAAGAAAAATCTCCTCCTTAGTCCCCCACCACCACTTCCAAACTAGGCTTTTCCATCATCACACAAACCATCGGCCGTCAACTACACAACGTTGCTTTCTTTCTTGCTCCACCGCCACAACAATCTTCTTCTTCAACCTCGCCACTGCAGTCCGATGATTCTGGCGAGGTTTCACCGTCGTCTACTTCCTCTTACACAGGCATAAAGAACGATCTCGCTAAAATTGGTGGTAGCTTTAAAACATGCCTCTCTATGATGTCATCCAATAAAGCAGTGAGTGAAATTTCTAAATTCGCTTCCAATTTACTCCAGTTTGATCTAGCGGATGATCTTGAAGAGATTGATCCAGTTGGGATTACTAATGATTTTATCAATTTCGTTCAAGAAATCTATCTTCGCCCTGAATGTTGAATTTAAATACAACAATTAATTTTGCGGTCTCACTTAACAAGCCCAAGGTCACTGGTGGAAACCCTAGCACGTGCTAGAGAGAAGGGAGGTGGCGATGGTTTAGGGTTTATAGAGAGACGGGAGGTAGAGAATGAAGGGAGATCTAGAGGAGAGAGTATCAGAGATGGGAGAGTGGATTACAAGGATGAAAGATAGATAGAAGATAGAAAAAACGAGGCGGGTTTTCAAAATTTTAGGGATTTGGTTTCCCCCCTTGTCTACTAAAAGCGCGTTTCATTAAATTTATAAAGCAACATGTACAAACGACGCGCGTTTAAGATAAAGTGCCCTCCGTGTTTTTAATTTTTTTTTTCTTGAGACAGTAAATTAAGGGCACGAAATAATGCGTGACGTAAATCCTTAAATTTTTTTGGAGAGATGACACTATTTTAAGAGCACGTCCTTTTGCGTATCATTAATCAGTGTGGGTCATAAAAAGCGCGTCATTAAAGGTCTATTTTCTAGTAGTGAATATATTTGAACTGATTCATGATTCTTTCAGCTTAAGCAACTTCAGCATTCTTTCCACTTACAGTTTCCATATCCGTAAATGATTTGAAATAAACAAAAACTAGGGTTTGGACAATCCGTGCGTTGTTGCGGAGGCTCCAGTGTGTTAAAAAATGCAGTTTGACACCATACATACAACGAAAACGATTAAATCATATAAAATGGAGCACAAAAATATCAAAATAAAACATGAATACAAACAATTGACTTGAAAGTGTATCTTTAAGAAATTAATAAAAAAAAGATTATTAAAAAAATTATATAAGGGGCCAAAATATAACTTTAAAATATAGTAAGTGACAAAATTATAATGTATAAAATACTAATAAATTAACTTTAAAATTATAAGTGTTGAAAATTGTTAAATGAAAATTAATTAAGGAGAAAGAATATAAATATATATAAATTTTAAAATTATAAGGATAAAGATTGTTACATCAAAAATTGTTTAGGGATATAAAATATAAAACAAATAAAAGTAAAGGGTGAAAAATGAAAAAAAAAATTGAGGATAAAAATTGTTACATAAAAATTAGTTTAGGGGTATAAAATATAAAAACAAATAAAAGTAAAGGGTGGAAAATGAAAAAAAAATATATCAAAATTAGTAGGGGTACAAAATATAAAAACAAATAAAAATAAAGGGTAGAAAATGAAAAACAAAATTGAAAGTATGAAATCTGCTTACGTGGAATGAATAGTAAATCCTTACACATACCAATTATGGTAATTAATATATATATATATATATATATATATATAATTAATATATATATATATATATATATATATATATATATATATATATATATATATAATACTTTTGAACTGATACAACAGTTCTTCCCAAGTTCAAGCTTTAATAAGTAAGAGAAGATTTGCTTCAAAAAAATTAAGTATGCAAGGGTGTTTTCACGGATGTGAAGGTTTGTTTGAGGCCAAAGAAAGAATACATAATCCCCAATCGTCAAATGCATACCTAATTCCTAGATTATTTCCACGGAAAAATAATGATTACTTACTGGTATGCAACTCAAACACATACAAGCATACACAAACACATAGAAACACAGAAACACAAATACATTTATAGATTCTGGGTAGAAAGTGAGAAAGATACTTGTTACAAATTAGGGTTCTTTAATGGAGATAATGCACGAGAGGAATGGAAATAGTAATGATGTTTCGATATCAGGAAAATTACATGAAATAGAAATAGAAGTTTAATTTCAAGAAAAATTACTTACATTTCTTCTAGGTCGTGATGAAATGAAAGTGCTGCAGGGGAAAAAGGGATGAGGTTTCGATTCACGTTTTCCGGCATGATGGTGATTGTGGAGGCACTTGGTGATCGGAGAGAGAGAGAGAGAGAGAGAGAGAAAAGAGAGAGAGAGAGAGAGAGAGAGAGAGAGAGAGACGATATGGTACCTAGCATCAGTTCGAAGATGGCGAAGATGGTGGAGGCACTTGGTGGTTTATGGCCAGCGCAACTGTGGCATCCACATTAAGGAAAAGGCACATCGGAGGGGTTGATTTTGGTGCTAACAACGGATGTGGAGGGGGAGAGAGAGAGAGAGTGCTTCTCTAGTGGCATTAGGATTTCTGTATTAGAAGGTGGGGGAAGATGAAGCTTCAAATGAAGAAGGACGAAGAGTGGCTGGCAAGGTTTAGGGTTTTATTAGTGAGGGAATACACGCATACCTTTAGAAAAAGGTTATGTGTCGTTTGTTTTATCTGCATTAGGGTTTGTACATGATTATCAGGTAACAGATTCTTAAATAGGTTGATTAGATTAGTAGTTTGGGCGGGCGAGGTTTGAAAATTTATAATACTATTTTATATTAGAATAAAGACGGAAGATGGAAAAAAAATGGAAAAAGGGAAATCAATTTGATTTCCATAATCATCTCCTAATTAAAAGCCATAATTACGGGTTAGTTTTTTAACAAGGTATTAATAGTTTATCTGCATAACTTGATTGTATATTCGAGAGTGAAAATTATACCTCTTAAATTTTAAGAAATGCTTAATATGCATTACATAATAGAATATATATATATATATATATATATATATATATATATATATATATATATATATATATATATATATAGAGAGAGAGAGAGAGAGAGAGAGTCAAGATCAAATAAGAAGGAAATTTTTGGTAGGAAGGTAAGAAGTTTTTTTTGTACATATTTTTTTTGCGAACAAACAAAATGAATCATTAGATGATTCATTTGTAAGATGATTCACAAGAAAAAATTCTCAAAAAACATCTAGATTTTTCATTTATATAATGATTTTGTTGTTATTCACTAAAATTATCATAAAAGTGAATTTTTTCTTAATTTAATTAAAAATGAATCATAAAGATGTTTTATTTGAGAATTTTTTCTTGTGAATCATCTTACAAATGAACCATCTAATGATTCATTTTTTTGTTCGTCAAAAAACTATGTAGAAAAAAAACTTCTTACCTTCCAACCAAAAAAAATTTCTTACCGGATCCATATATATATATATATATATATATATATATATATATATATATATATATATATATATATATATATATATATATATATATATATATATATATATATATTAGGTTTAAATCTGGATGCTACTGGAACTTCCCAGACTCTCATATATCTCGAACGGGTTAGTTCTTTTCTAGTGTAGTTCACATTTTTGGTCCCTAAGTAAGCCGACTCTTTAAGTTTTTTTCCCAAAAAAAAATCTCTTGTTGTTTTCGTCCTTAATTGAGGTTTTTTTAACGTTTTTGCCAAGTAAAGTAACTATATGTTACAAAAACCCTCAAAATAAGGACCAAAATTTTAAAAATCATATATACTTAGGTACCAAAAGTGTATTTATACTCTTCTTTTTCAACCTGCGTATGCAAATGACAAAATGACTTATATACCCTTCATTTGTTTATATTTTGTCGTAAGTGGATCAACAAAATCATAAAGTGAGGACTAAAATGGACCGTTAATGAAATACAAATATGAGCTTAATAAAGCTGGAGAAGAATTAGGAACCGGTGAGATTTTGCTCAACTGTGATGGTATCTAATCAATAATCAAACGACACATACATTTTTCAGTTTATTTATTTTATATTTAAAAAAGTGTGATACTAATCTAATAAAACTATTCTCAGATGCTATGAGCATACCAGTGATCACAAGTATTGGTGCAGGAATTGTTCAACATTTCGCACATGTTTTTCAAAAGAAAAATGCTTCAATGCCTGATGCATGCATTTTTCATAAGAAAGAGGTATTGCAATTATTAATTAGTGTTTTACAGAAAATATATTGAACATTGATGGATTAGGATTTACACCTTGGCATTTTTATGCTGGGTTTTGACTTTTGATTATATAGATTGTAAACCATATTTATAGAATCTTTTAGTTTTTTAGCAGATTCAGTAATTTTTTTTTGTGGTTAGTTTAGGTTCAACTTAACTTGATGGCACGTTTAAAAGATAACTATTATGGAATCCAACAAGCCACTCAGGGACTGGTATAGATCATCTCATAATTATGATTTCATTTTTAAAAGTTTAGTAAGTAAAATGTAAGTTTTGTTATTTGTATTGTATTTCTTTTTTATGTTAGCATGAAATTAACGTATGCTTTATAGCACTGTACATTGTATCCATGTTTGAAAAAAACAATATACATACAAACAGTATAACAGTAAAATGGTGTTCGCTTCATAAGAAAAGTGTTCTACATCCTAAACATATCAAACTAACACAAATATATTCTCATTTATGCATTATTTTATGATAAACTGATTGGTTTAGCGTGTGTGTTATGCTATTTATGAGATTTTTTTAGTTTTTGTTATTTAAACACCAATCATCTGTATCATTTGCTCTTTAAATAGGAAAAGACAATTTACATTTTTTTTATGTTAGCATGATAGTTGGCAGAAATGGTCCCTGTTGTAGAATACACAACATAAAAAAATATGCATTTGTTAATTACATATCAGGTCCCTAATGTAGGAAACAATTACGTAATTGGTCCCATCGAAGTTAAATGTTATAAAAAAGTGGCTATGACATTAAATTCTTAAATAAATTCTTAAATAAATTGAAGTTTGAAGATATTATAAATTCTCCTTCTATTGATGCTGATTGTAGGAAGATTAATAATTTGGCTGGAAAAAATCGATTGGAGTCAACATTCTTTTTGATGATTACAAAAGTTTGGTTAGGAAAGGAGACAAAACATGATCAAAGATGAGGTAAATGATGAATGACTACTCTTTTAAGTTGGTTATCATGGATATGGGGTACAAACATTGTTAATATATTATATGTAGCTATAATCTCTTTAGTTAGTAGTACAATAACATAAAATATGTTTACAAATAATATTTTTTATGTATATAAAACAATTTTTTGAGGTTACTGTAGTACCCCATCTAGCTCCACCACTGCCCATATGCCCATAACAGCAAAAGCATGGAAGGAGCACTAACACTACACAAAAACTGCATCGTTAAAGATAGACTCTAAAAACAAATAAGAATTGGATCAATCTCAATTCTCAAAGATCATTGGGGGTTTATCAATCTGCTGGCTGATTTTCTGGAATCATGGTTCCAAATTTTTTTTCATGGGCTACATGTTCAGGCGGAACAGTGGGATGTGTCGTACTAGGCCTCCTTAAAGCTTCAAGCTCAAGGATCCAAGTACCCAAGTGTGTCCTGAACAACAGTGTTGACGTTTTCTTCTTTTATAGAAAACAACATGGAAATACCAAAATCAGACAATTTTGCACTGAAGTCATTATCTAATAACATATTTGTGGACTTGACATCTCTGTTTATGATGGGGGTGGTGGCATGAGAATGAAGGTATGCAAGTGTAGATGCAGCTTCTACAACAACCCTCAATCGATTCTCCCATGATAACCAACTCGTTCCACCCTCTTCATTATGAATGTGATGGAAAAGTGTGTTATTGGGAATGAACTCATACACCAATACCGGTACCTCCTCTTCTAAACAACATCCCAACAGTTTTACGATATTTCCATGGATGATTTTCATTATTACCAATACCTCATTGATAAATTGTTCATTTTTAGTCTTACCCACTGAAACATACTTCTTTATTGCAACAACGCGTTTATCCGACAGTACTCCTTTATAAACAACCTCAAAACCTCCTCGACCAACAGTTCGCTCATTTGAATAGGTATCGATTGCTTTTGGAAGCTGTTTGGTGATATATACAGTCATGGTGTAAGCAACCTCTTATGAATTCAGTTTTTGTTTGAGCAACACACCATCGTTTTTCTCAAAAAACTTCTCTCGTTCCTTCGTAAGTTTCCTCTTCTTGATGCTAAAGAATATCCCAATGATCCCAGCTAATGTCAAAATAATCCCAACCAAAGCTACATGGAAAAATATAAGGAAAATGATCAGTTAACCAGATGAATACTAAACATGGGAGCGCTTGTAATAATGCTACATTTCCAACAATTACGTATACCGCGGAATTATTACAACTTATCTTGCAAATATTGGTTGTTAATCCATGAAATATATGTTTTTTCTTGTAAATGACACTTCGTAAAAGTAAAAAAGAAAAAACAATTCATTTTACCAAATAAAAAAAAAAGAATCTTGAAACAAGTATTTTTTGGATTGAAAAAAAAATTATGTATAATAAATTTGTAGTTAAGATGTTTGCCTTTTTAAGGAGAAACACACGTTACCTTTTACACATTTAAATGTAAATGAATATCATAAATTTTTACACATAAAAATAATGAAAAATGGGTTCAAGCCCATATTTTTACATGGAAAAAGTAGTCTTGGATAGAGTATAACATAGAACCTATATAAAGCTTAGTCTTGGATAGAATAAAACATATAACATATAAGCTTATATTCGTTTACAACCTAACTCAAATCAAATATTTATAAAAAAAATAGTTTCTATACACATTAGCAAAAAATGATTTTGTCCAATTAGACCCAATTCTTTTATATACATTAGCAAGCCAATGAATTAGTTTTTTTATTTAAAAATAAAACGTTATATAGTGATCTTTGGTGATTTGCTTATAGACTAATTAAATTGGACAACATTACCAACCAATTTTTGCGAACCTAATTTTCTACACATTTGAAAGAAAATGTAAGGCCAATGTCGCAAAATTTTTATATATTTTGGGAAACATGTACACTGGAAAAGCAAAATTCATGAAAAAATGTTAATTGTATGATGAAAAAAATCATAAAATATGTTAGTTTCGGCCACATGAAAAAATAATTTCGAAAAAATAATATATTTAATTTTGACAAAATAAATTATCAACATTGATGCAATATTGGTAAAAAAGGATTGGTGATCGTACACATTTTGACTTGCAATGCTTAATTTGTTGTACCTAATTATATCAGGTTAGATTTAAGTATTTAATACATCATCTTAAATATTACTAAAAGAGAAACTTTATGACATCATCTTAAATAATCTGGACCATTGATTGTATTTCAATCTTATTTTTCCACCCTTAGATCAAATTGCTGACATCATCTTCCCTATATGAAATGTATTTAATTCCAATAAATATTTTCCAATCATCAATCAATAACTTACATTCGTTGAAATGGAATGTATTTAATTCCAATAAAAGCTTTCCATATTTTACATCTTGAATTTTCAGTTATGAAGATTTTAATATGATCAATTTTAAAAATATATTACTAACAAATCATTTCAATCAAGACCTTAATATCAACCATTAATATAAATCCGTTTATATTAGTAAACCAGTAATATAAAATCTTTTTTTATTAGGAAATCATTAATACCGAAAAATCATATTCAAATTATCACATACATATACGATTCACCATTGAATCCGCGACTCACATTTATTTTCAATCGTTTCTTTTCTTCAAACATTCTCCTACAACATCGTTAATATTGGTTATAACTTCCATCATCATTCTCTACTATCAACATTCGCTCTTGTGCGCTAGAAGGTCAGTACCTTCTTTCATTTTTTTATATTTTTTTCGATCATTTTTTGCTCCTATATCAAATGTATGTGTTCATATATTTCGATTTTCTTTGTCACAAATTACATGAAATAAGTTAACTACTTTTCTAAAACTTTTCAAATAAACATGAAAAGGTAGTAGGTACCTTTAACAAAACAAAAATTAACTATCCTGGGAACTGACGAAAATATTATTTTTATATATTAGAGATGATGATGATTTTTTTTAAATTTTTATGTCATAAGAATCCGGTTAATTTTGGCATGATTTTAAAATATTATTGAAATTATTATGTTTTTATATATCATATCAACCTACTTTTTTTATCTTCGTATAGTAACAATAAAATTTGTTAATTTACACAACAAATATAGATATTTCAAATTTTGTAATATTATTATACCTTACAAAATATGACTCCTTCCAAAATAAATTTTCGTCAGTAATTTCATCCATAATTTTAACAAATTAAAATTTATATTTTCTTTATATAAATTTTTTTTAATGATCCTGATTTTTTTTTCTCCAAAAGTATATCAAACATTTACGTTTTAGATAATATTGCCATATTATAATTATTATTTTCCAAAAATATACCCGTTTAATGAGGAATTTGATATAATAAACGAAGTGAATGTTAATTAAAATGAGATATATATTCCATAATTATTACATGAGTTTATTAAAAAAATTAATATCAAGGTGTAAACATTAAACATTTTTAAAATGAAATTTCAGAATACATACAAACGATAATGTTGTACAATGAAATATAAAATTGAATAGACTGAAAAAACAAAAAAAACACTATTAAAGCAGTCAATCTTGAAAATAACATAGTTATCAAAAATTATAAAGTAAGATTAAAATTATAAGATATTAGGAGATTTGTAAAAAGTACATTTAGTAAAAACGTTACGGTTATTAGAAAAAATAAGACCGTTAAGATTAATGAAAATACAATATATAAACTAAATTATCACAATAGTAATGAAATTTCATTATTTGATATTTCATATAATTGACAGATATATCAAATTAAATTGATGATATACTAAAATTATTCAAAGTTACGTCAAAACTAATACAAAATTTTTGCGAATACTAAATAAATAAGAATAAACATAAAAGCTAGCATTTATATTTATAATCAATTTAAAATAAACCAATCATGATTTAGAAAAAAAATATCCATTAATGATATACTAAAATTAAATCTATATAACATTTAACATTTTATAAATTATATTACATAACTTTATTTGAATAAATGAAATAGTTGTTAATATTTAATGCAATAGAAAAAACGGTATATTGATTGTCAATATATGTTTAAATTAAGTAACATTATTATGCAATGAACGTTTAATTAAAATGCTTATAAATATATAAATATCATAACTATATAAAACGAGGAAAATCGTTCAACTAATAAAACAAAAAATGATGTTTACAAAGAAATCTTTCAATGATTATATATATTTATCGTTTTCAATATATTTTCTACATATTTCAATAATACCAATAACCATATATTTTTTTATAATCATTATACAATATCTATAAACGATTATATGTTTTTTTATGCGTTTCCCGCGTTTAACGCGGGCTATAATCTAGTTAATAATAATACTTGTGTGAAGTATACCGACAGAGAACACCACCACTGGAAGTTTTGATATTTTAGCAACCGGTCGACAACCGTATTTTTCTTTGACTTCGCCTTCATATCCTTGCAAACATGTACCAATGTAATTCCCGGGAGGGACTATTAATGCAACTTCCATAACAAGCATAGGTGCTATTTGCCTCGCACTCGTTGATATCTAGCAAACAAAGTTATTCAAGTATTAAAACAAAGAGGTACAAAACGTGGCATACACATGGTTTGCTAATATTACAAAATGACTGCACATACCTAAATACACATGCCTAGTGATCGCACATTAATGTATTCGTTATATGTGTGTGCTATGTATCTACTTTCAAATTAGTTGATTAAGACAAAAAGGGTTTATTCATTTATTTTTCCATGTCTCATTTAGACCATCTTTAACACTAGAGGAAAAATAATAACGCTAATAGTGATTTATCTCTATCTTCACTTTAATTTTCACTAATTTTTTAGACCCAAAAATATATCATAACAATATTCTTTTTGATCAAATTTTTATATATTCAATAATACTTTTCAATTTAAAAGACTTTTATAGTTTGTCTAAAATCATTTTGTTTTGATAACCTTAAATTTTTTACCAATAAATAAATATAACAAAACAAATAATATAAATTAATTTTGATATTAATACAACAAGTATTTTATTAAATAAATAATTTCATTCATCAGCCATCAAAATAAATATTCAAACTCATTTGTAAAGCATTATACATATATTTACAGAAATATGACACATACGTTTAGAAAAATTTAACAAAGAAATATTAAGAAGTGTTTAAATTTAAAATATATTTGAAACAATTTTCATATTAAAAATATAATAATAAATTTAAACAAATACTAAATAAATAAACTCAAATTTTAAGTATGTTAAATAAACTAGATATAAATAAACTTAAACTTGAACAAACAAATCTGACAAGTAAAAGTTAACCTTAATTTATAGAGTCGATAAATTGTTGATAAATAATGTTCTTTCAAATTTAAAGTATAGTAATCTTAATCTTATAATAATCTTATATTCCATGTAACAAATAAAGTGGAGTTGATGAATTATATATATATATATATATATATATATATATATATATATATATATATATATATATATATATATATATATATATATATATATATATATATATATAAGAGTAGGATCAAATAAGAACACCAAAAAGGTTGAAAACGCGAGAACAAATTATATTCATTTGCGATTCCATTTATTCATTTTTGGAGAAATGATAAATATTTATGCATTTAATTTCAATTGAAGAGAAAAAACATATTCATTTTGATTGTGCGTAAGAATTTATCATTTCTCCACAGATGAATATATGAAATCACAAATGAATATACTTGTTTTTGCGTTCTCAACCTTTTAGATGTTCTCATTTGATCATTTGCATATATATATATATATATATATATATATATATATATATATATATATATATATATATATATATATATATATATATATATATATATATATATATTACATAACACATTGAATAATTTTATAAATAAAACGGAACAGAATGCTTTTTAATTGAAAAAAACAATTGTAAATCATTAGTAAGGTACAAGCAATGATATTTTGAAAATAAAACTAGATTAATAAAGTTCAAATGTTTTCAATCTATATGGGTCAAACCTCCAGCTTAAAAACCAATGTTTTATAATTAGATTAAAACAAGTCTGTTCACTCAAAAACATAATCAAACCGGCCAGGTTGAATGTTGTACACCAAACTTTATAAAACAAAATATTTATAAATAAATAAAACCTTATTTGGAATTGGGTCTTTAATGCAAGTGACAGCCTACGTTTATAATTAATGGACCAAAACCTAAATGTAACCTAAGAAGTCTCCCCCCATCCTGCTTTTAATAAGCCTAACTCAACTCCCAACACTTTTGATGTGGGATGAGCCACAAAATTAAATTGTACTCTACTTTTCTCCTTATATGTTTTATTAATAATTTTTTTATTTTTATATCCATCATCTTTGTAGAAAAATAAGTTTTAAAAGTTAACTTTCGAGTGATACAATAAGAGCATCTATCTATTCGGGTTTTTGCGACCGGTTTGTGTCAAATAAAATTTTTAGTGGAATGGATTTTTTTCTAAAGTCGAAACTGACCTTGGCAGCATTATGAAGATAAGGATTACCCTGGTAACCTTTGTTGCAGCTGCAACGATATCCACCAAGATCTTCATCGTCCATGCAGAAGCTATTTGCCTTGCATTCTGTAGCCTGTGAGCAACTCCGCTTGCCTCGTCCAATTACCCAATCCACCAGGATGTGGACATGTGAATCTAAAGAAAGCTTTGAAGCACCAGACAAATCACGTGCACCACCAAAGCCAAAGTGGTTTTCCTCAGCAAGAAATGCAAAACCGCAAGGATTGAACGACCGTATATTCATCTGGTTATCAAAGGAGCCAATAGTTACATTGAAACCCTTGAGATCCTTTGGTATTGATGTCTGGCAACACCCAATTCCAGAGCAGGTACCATTATTAGGCACATTATATACTTACGTTAGTACATATGCCCATACAGCTAGCCACTAGCGTAGTTGGGTCCATGTGGTCCTCTGATCCAAGCATACTTATGGCATCCAACGACAGTAAACTTGTTTTTAGACGAAAAAGTGAAAGGGCCCGCCTCATCGAATGCCATACCTGAATTACCACTAGTATCGTTCACAGATTCGTTGTAGCAAGAGCGATCAACAGAATTGAAAATGCTGATCTTGGAATCCGAGATACTTTATATGCCGATGTTCCCTGAGCCGATAAAAAGGTTTGGGGTTTAAAAGTGAAAAAAACAACTAGAGTATGCGATACTTTAGTAATGAATCTAGAAATATGTTTTTACAGTAACATGTGGAGTATATAACAAACTAGCATCAACATGGATAACGGTCATTTTAAACTAAAAACTCATAATATTTTGCTGAGAAACGCTACAAAAATTTAGAAAGAAAAAATACAGTTAAAATTGGATTAACAGTAAAAACAAATAATAATTAGTTAAGTAATCAATTTATAAAATCAAAGTTGCCAAAATCGAATTTCACTTAGGATCGTCTTCCACTCTACAAGATCAAGATTGAAAAATCTGTCCGATATCAAAAGCTATTATAACAATAAACCAGTTTAATTTTTTCCGGAGGGATGTAATTATGTATAAAAGATTTCAAGAAGATTAAAATTTTGATGATTATAATTAGTTTTAACTATCAATTGTTTTATAGCTTTGAAAATAAATAAATGTTTCTTTTTAGATTGTAATTTGAAACTTATTTAAACTCATCAGACCGAAAATTCAGATTGTGCCAACTACGGTTATGTTGATGTCTTGACAAGTTTTTTTTTTTTTTCCTACTCTTATATTTTGATAAAATTCTATTATAAATAATACAATATTAAATAATTTTTGTAGTTTGATATTAAGTATTGTGTATTTTGTAATACAAAATTAAAATAAAAAAGCACACCTTATACTTACACTACTAGAGAATAGGGGGTTTTCCTACAAAAAATAGCTACGGAATTGCTACAGATTAGCTACAAAAAGGGATGCCCTAATATATCAACAAAATAGATACGAAACAGATATGGATACTATTCCGTATAGGGAATAGCTACAAAACAGCTACAGATGATAATTCGTAGCTATTTCGTAGCTAATTAGCTAACGAATGTCTACGAAATAGCTATAGATACTAATTTGTAGCTATTTCATAGCTAATTAGCAACGGAATAGCTACGGCCTAGCAACGGAAGAAAATAGCTACAGAATAGCTACGAAATAGCAACAAATTTATAATTTCCATTATTATTAATTTTCATTATTATTAATTTTCATTACTGACTCTTAAATTTTTTTTTTGGATAATTTTTCTTATATATTTAAAACACGAACAATAAAAAATCATATTAATAATACTATTTATAAACATCATAATAATATATAATAATTGTAACAAATGTGTTTAACACACAAACAAAAGATGAAATGAAAAAAAACTACGTTTAACACATCAATAAGGTGAAATAATCTATATTTAATTTATAGATAATGAAAAATGATTATAATAAAAGGAAATAACTATATTTGTATGTGTATGTATGTATTTATGTATGTATGTTTGTATGTGTATGTTGTATGTGTGTATGTATATGTATGTGTATGTGTGTATTTGAATGTGTATGTGTATGTGTATGCATGTGTATGTATTTGAATGTGTATGTATGTACATATGTGTATGTGTGTGTATTTGAATGTGTATGTGTATGTTTATGTTTATCTATGTGTGTATGTGTCTACATGTATGCGTATCAAAAATCGCAAATATTAATAAGTATTAAAATATTAAACCATTAAATGAGTAAGACATCCTGTATGTGCACACGACTTTATAAACAATATTAATAGTTATAAGTTTCTGAAAATATAGATAATCATGTGGAAAAAAATGAAGTGTAAAAAACGACGTTTGGTGCCAAAAAAATCAAATATAAAAAATACCCATAACTAATTAGTTACGTATTAGCTACAGATTTATCTTATTTTCGATATTTCGGGCATCAAATGTTGTTTTTTTAATTCGTTTTTTTCACACCTTTATTATACATGATTATCTATATTTTCAGCAACGTATAGCTAATATTATCATTCATAAAGTTGTGTGCACCTTCGGGATCAAGTGCTCGTTTCACAGTTTAACATTGTAATGCTTATACTTTTCACCAACTTGTGATGAGTTTATGTTTGTATATGTATGTTTATATACATAAATGAGTTGTGGTATATGTGTACATATATATATATATATATATATATATATATATATATATATATATATATATGTTTATATACATAAATGAGTTGTGGTATATGTGTAGATATATATATATATATATATATATATATATATATATATATATATATATATGTATGTATACGTGTTTGTGAGTATTTGTATGTAAATGTATTCATAAGCATTATAGTGTTAAACCATTAAATGAGTAATGGATCACATATGTGCACACGACTTTATGAATGATATTTATAGCTATAAGTTGGTAGAAATATAGATAATCATGTATAATAGAGGTGTGAAAGAAAAAGAAGCCAAAAAACGAAGTTTTGGTGCCCGAAAAATTTAAAATAAGAAAAATCCATAGCAAATTAGCTACGGAGTAGCTATGGAATTCTAATGGAAATCATATTCCGTAGTTAATCCATAGGTACTTTTTTTTATATTACTTCATGTATGAAATTTATATGCTTAATTAATTGATAATGTTGATTTGTTTTGTTGAATGAGAGGTTTTAGATTATATTTTAGACCAAATTTTAGGTTTTAGGTTAAGTTTTGGTTGAATTTGAGAAAATGTTAGCTTAATTTTTTAAATTTGTTAAAAATTTTAGAGGAAGAAGAAGAAGAGCAAAGGAATGTTGTTGAAAGAGAATCATATGTAAAACAAGTTCGTCTCCTTACACTACGTACACTCTCTTTGTCTTTTAATCTATCGATTCTACCCAATTTAGGTTAGAAACTAACGAATTGATTTGAACATTTAGAATTGAATTCTGGTATATACTTGTCAATTGAATTGAGCAACTGTTAAAAGCCCTACATTATTTTGCAGGAACGAACAGAGGAAGTCTCGAATAAAGATGATGATGAATGGAAATACATAGAAGAAGGGCCTCCTGAAATCATATGGCAAGGAAACGAAATAATAGTGAAGAAGAACAAAGTCAAGGTGAAAAAGAAAGAGGCCAACCAATCTACCAAAAAAAAAGTACACAAGTTAATAACCTTTTCTATGTTTCTCACAGCACACAATCACAATTTCTTTAAGTCATATCTCATTTCATTTTGCAGGATCCTGATAGACCTACATCAAATCCACTTCCTCCACAATCTGAAGCTTATGCTGCTTTTAAGAATGCACTTATCGCTTCGACAGAGTTGTTGGATATTGTTGCATAGCAAGTCCTAAACTTAGGAACAAGATGATATTCTTTGTTGGATATTGAGGTCTGTTGTTGGGTTCAACCTGTAATTCTTGTGTCCTGTGATTCTTGTATCCTGATGAATATTTTGATAGTTTTAATGCTTTATTAGTTTGGATTTCAATTACCATTGACCAATAAAACTAACTTGTGTGTGATTATGTGGTGTAGAAATCCTCTAAAAAAACTATGGTTTAATTTTATCCGCTCTTGTTGTTCTTTACTTTATGTAACGTATGTTTTGTTAATTAGTACTTACTTTTGTATGATATTTTGGACAATGGAATGAAATCTAACAAAGTTGGTATTAGGGATTTTTTTGGTGTATTTTATATGGTACTTGGGACAAATGTGAATTGAATGTGTTTTTTTACAAAAAATTGGAAATTTTTAAATTTTAATTTTTTTAAATAAAACAAAGTTAGCTACGGAATAGCTACGGATTTCCGTAGCTATTTAGTCCTGTCGCGATTCCGTAGCTATTTATTTCCGTAGCAATTCCGTAGCTATCCATTTTCATAGCTATTTGGATCCACGGCTATTTCGTAGCTATCCATTTCCGTAGCTATTCTGTAGCAAATTCGTAGCTAAATTTGTTTCCATAGCTATGGTAACTATGGAAAAGTCCGTAGCTATTCTGTAGCTATAATTTAGCTACGGGCCGTTATGCTATAGGCATTTTTCCGTAGTCATTCCGTAGCTATCCGCTTATACCTACGAAACAGCTATGGATTGTGTTGTAGCTATTGCACCAATTTTATAATAATTTTAAGGCTCAAATTTGCTCCAAACCTCAGTTTCTTCTCATGACTCATGCTAAAATTTGCTTCAAACCTAAGTTTCTTCTCTTGACTCACGTTAATACAATCAACCGCTTACATATCATGGAAAACGATAATTTATGGTTTTTCCACCAAATCAAACTATCAATGGGTATCCAAATAAATATTTAACATAAAATATATATTTTTCTAATTAAGTAGCATATGTAAGAAAAATTTAAGGGTATGCAATTGCATACCCTTCTTATACACTACATCCGCCTATGGTTGCAGGTAAGTTCAAATGACTCGTCTGAGGAACACCCTTAGCTTAATCCAAATGTGAAGGGAACTGTTATGTTCCCGCATTTTGTTTGGCAGTGTGACTTTGTAATGGCTGTAAGGGAGGAACCTACAAAATTGCTTTTAGACAACAACGCGATGATGAAAACAAGAAGCATGTTTCTTTTTTCTTGTATTTCTTTGATCAGAATGTTGGATATTATTCCTTTTATATATCAGCTCAGATACCGATTTGTTGGAAATATAACAATCTGATCACCACAACAAAAGGCTCGGTTACCAGTTACTGTATGATAGATATATCAGTTTAAGATATAAGATATATATATATATATATATATATATATATATATATATATATATATATATAAAGAATAATAATTGCGGAATAAGTATAAATATGAAAGCTGTAAATGAC